TTTTTGGTTGAGGTTGTCATTGTTGTTTGACAGGCCCGGGTTGGATTTGAACCCACCAGCTCTGGTATATATGGCTGGCACCTTAGCTGCTTCAGCTACAGGCGCCGAGCCTTAAAAATCTTTTTTAAATAAATAAATTTCCAGATTCTTCTGTTTTAATATTGGTATATTTCCTCACAAGGTGCCAATGATGGAAGCACTGAAGCTGCCATAACTTTACTTACAATGGGAGATCTACTATTGCAGTCAGAGATCACTACTGTACAGGGTGATGGTAAGAATGAAAGATAAGTCCTACTAAAAAACAGAAACTTAAAGATCTAACTTTTAAGAAATTATACGTACGTTTGAGTAATAAGCTGTTTACCATTTGAAGTTGTCATCACTTTGTTGTTTTTTCAGAAAAGGTGATATGTGTGTGTTGGTCCGTCCACTATTTTACTTAACCTCTGTAGGTGTACTGACAACTCATTTGAGGTCACACACTTCATTTATTAAGAATAACTTGTATTCATGGAATAGTGTGGTGAGTCCTCTGTCTTTACCATCATAAAGGTGTCATTGGTTAACTGAGCTTATCGATCACTGCTCATTATCGCCATCTTTCTTTAGAATTAGATGACAGGTACAGTGTGAAAGGGGAATAGTAATTATTGAGACAATTTAGACTATTTTGATAGTTTGGACAGAGCCAAAAGATATGTCAGCCCAGATTTTTCATGTATTGGGCTTAATTTACAGAGAAGATATGGTCTTTAATATTTCCGTATCTTTTAGCTACATTAAGTAGATAATTATGCTAATTATATTCTTGATACTTATTTTGACTGGTGATGAGTGGCTTACTATTCATTGTAGGTGTTAGATTTATCAGGAAAGTCTCTGATTTTGTTCTAGGTGGGGCTTTTTTCTCAATGGCAGAGTATTGCAGTGGAGCCTGTCACAGATTTCTATAACGTAAAATACAGGTTTTAATAAATTATAAATGAAGGCAATCCTATCTTGAAATCCATCTGAGGTTATGTAATTACTGAAAGTAACAAAAAGATTCATTTTTACTCATTTTTGGCACAAAGTTTCAGCCCCTGAGAATTACTAAACTTACAATGGGTCATATCCCTGGCAAGAAATATAAGATTATAAATTTAAGTTTTGAGCCATCGGTCAAACTTTAACAATAATGTAGAATTTTACAGTGACTGAATGTTGAAGAAATTATTTTATTTGAAATATTGGGCTAATTTTAATTCTCTGTTTTTTTCCTGCAGTAGGAGTATGTGTACTTCCTCATGTTCATTCAGAGGATAAAAGCCATATTCCTTTTAGTCCAGACAGTGTACATCATGAAATTCTGCAAGAATGTCAGGAGGTTTCTTTACCTGTCATTAGTACGTTTCCTGCATCCTTTGAAGAAAATAAGATTATATCGGAGGAGCAAAGTGCCAGAGAAGAAAGGGGTTTAATGGAGAAAGTAAAGGAGAATGCGACAGCAACCAGGTTTATTTTAATATTCAATTAATAAATATAATTAAATCTGCCATCAGTTAGATAATAGCTTTATTTAATGCTTATATTAATGTAAAGTAAGTAATGCTAATTTCTTACTCTTTAAGTAAAGATTGGCTGATTTTGGTTTTAGTTGAATGGTTTGCAAGTTAAAATTATAACATTGTGTATTACATGTCTTTGAAGCTTTAATGAAATAGATTTATGTAAATGTAGTCTGTTTTACAAATGTGATCTGGATTCTCTTCTTAAGACCTTTAGTAAAGTTACTCCTTTGTAATTTTAGTGTTAAGAAATGAACACTTTGGGTGGTGCGGGCCCCATATACCAGAAGTGGTGGGTTCAAACCTGGCCCTAGCCAAAAACTGCAAAAAAAAAAAAAAAAAGAAAGAAATGAACACTTTTAGTATGGGTATGGTAGTTGACAACTGTAATTCGAGCATTTTGGGAGGTGGGGGTGGGAGGATTGTTTGGGCCCAGGAGTGCAAGGGCCCCTGTCTCTACAAAATAATAAAAAGGATTAGCTGGGCATGATGATGTGTACTTACAGTCTCTCCCCCTCCCGCCGCCCCCACTACTCAGGAGGCTGAGGTGGAAGGATCACTTGAGCCCAGGAGTTTGAGGCTGCAGTGAGGTATAATGATACCACTGTATTCTAGCCTGGGCAGAAGAATGAAACCCTGCCCTCCTTACTCCCCAGAGAGAACACTTTTAGACAGTGTGGCACCCAGTGGGTGGCATGTTACCTGTATTAGTGTTAGACAGAATGGAGTGCTGGGAGAGAGCGAGATCTTATGTGGTTGGTAAATTTCTCTCCCTCTCTCTCTATTTCTAGGAATACAGCTTCTAAGATAACCAACAATTTGAGAATGAGAAGTAGATTTGCTAAACCTAAACTAAATCTGGAGAAGATTTTAGGGACCAACAGGCTTGATGCTCATGCGGAAGTTCCCAGTTTGTGTATAACCAAAGGGGAATTACCACAACCACAAAGAGGTAAATTTATTCTTCTCTTAAACTTGCTCTGTCAAAGAAGATTGCATTAGCATTCAAAGGAATATTAATTCATTAAAATTGTTTCAAACATACAAAAAAAGTAAAATGAGCTGTAAAATACTCATAAATCCACCACCTAGTTTTAGTACTGGTACCATTATGTTACATTTGATCAATCATTTTCTCTTTTTTTACATATAGACACACATATTAGTTGATCCTTGAATTAGACACGCTGAACCCCTGTGCAGTCAGAAATCCGTGTATACTTTTTGACTCCTCTAAAACGTAACTACTAATAGCAGCGACTGGTAGCCTTACTGATAACATATATTTGATTAATACATGTTTTGTATGTTATATGTATTAGTTACTATATTTTTACAGTAAAGCAAGCTTGAGAAAAGAAAATATTAGGAAAATCATAAGGAAGAGAAAGTACATTTATAACACCGTACTATATTTATCAGTTACCTATAGTTTATTTTGTCAGTTTATAAGATGATCAGTAATGGGCAAATTTAGCTGCAGACCTCCATTTATAGTACATATCGAGCAATTCAAATTTAGTAATGTCATGACTTTTCTCTGCTTCTTGGAGGCACTTCTAGCATCATTAGTGTACTCACATATGGATTTCATGGTGATGTACAAGGTTTATGGCATAGCAATAAACAAAAAATATATGAGAACTGCAAGAGATCTCTTTTTCAGATGCTTTCTCAGTCTGAAGGCTTCAATCATCTCTTTTTTAGGGATTTTTTCCCCCTCCACTTTGTAACATTACTCTTTGCTACACAGCTTGTTTCCCAAGATTTCCTCTAAGGTGGAACTAGCCAGACCTCATGTGTACCCACCTATAAACTCATTTGTACATGGACTTCTAATTATTAGTGCTGTTACCATAATGTGAGGGTATAATTGCTGTGGTATCTAGGAGTGAAATATCTGCAGTGAAGATTTATTAATCTTCTATTTTCCTGTTCAAAAATATCACTTACCAGGACCACCCTCTGCCATGTGAAATAAACTAGGTCTTTTAATTAGGAGAATTCTGAACGAGTCACTATCTGTCAAAAGAGAGTATGTTTGTAATACAGAGATTTTAGCTGTACTGTTTGGGACTGTATCTTCAATTGTATTTATAGAGGATTAAACATCATACTTACTACAACAGCCACCTTATCATAACGCGACATATATTTTTTATTTAAGATACTGAGAAAAATGCTTCTAAAACAACAGAATTAGAAGATAAAAGCCTCGGACCAGTTACAGTAGCAGAGAATAAGGAACAGAGCAAATTGGCATGTGTACATGATATCAAAGGGACCAGTATTTCTCAAGAAGTAAACCTGACCGAAAGGTAAAAGAGGGAAGAGATTCTGAGATTCTGTTTCAGCTATAGCCATAAGTTGTAGCTGTAATAAATTGCTTGAAAAGGGAGTTATTGTTGCTTTAAATATATTCTAAAACTTTGAAAACCACCGAATTAGATGATTTCTTTCTATTTTTGAGACAGAGTCTCACTGTGTCACCCTCAGTAGAGTGCTGTGACATCACAGCTCATAGCAACCTCAAACTCTTGGGTTTAAGTGATTCTCTTCCCTCAGCCTCCCAAGTAGGTGGGACTACAGGCGACCTCCACAACACCTGGCTGTGTTTTTTTTGGTTGTTGTTGTTGTCGTTGTTTAGCAGGCCCTGGCTGTGTTTGAACCTGCTAGCCCTAACCACTGAGCTATGGGCACTGAGCTTGTGTACCCACCTATAAACTCACTTGTACATGGGTTTCTAATTATCAGTGCTGTGGCTGGCGCCCTAACCACTGAGCTATGGGCACTGAGCCAAATTAGATGATATTTGACATACCTAGCTCTAAAAGTAATTCTGTAGTTGTTTGCCTGATTTCATATGACATATTTAAATTCTTTTTCAGAAATGAAGATCAAGAAGTGGGATCTCAAGAAGTTCAGATATTGTCAGTTGCTCCAGTTGTTTCTTCTGAGACAGCGCCCCACACACTTGCTTTGGGTATGGTTCTTGCTGAGAGTTCTGTTGAAGAGCCTCTAAGAAAGGATTCTGAAGGAGACAGTGTGCCAGAGGTAAAAGAATGTAAAATATAACAAGGACCTGCAAGGCGATTTTCCCCATTTAAAAAAATTAAGTTATAATTTACATAAAACAACTTTCACCCTTTTTAGTATACAGTTCTACAAGTGTTTACAAATATATGCCAACCCCCCCCACATTGTTTTGTGCCCTCTTATGTCACCCCTTCTCCCTATTCCCAACCACTGACCACCACTGTTCTATTTTCTTTCCCTATAGTTTTGCAAAAATATATTGTGATAGAATTTTAATTGAGTGTGTTTTCAGTCTTCTGGAACCTAGAGATGAAACAGCTAATACCTACCTTTCCCAACAAAACAGCTTTGTTGTAGGAGCATTGAAAAGGAAATGTTTAGTACCCTGAAAATTCACTTCTTGCCCCTTAGCCACTGGATCTGAGGCGTTCATTCACAGAGCAAATGTTTATTGAGAGTTTATTGTTAAGTATCTGACATTGTTAGGTGGTGAGGATACAAATTTGTGGGAGACAGATGAATGTTTGAGTCATGCTGTGATAGAGATTTGCACAAGATTCTATAGGAGTCATCCTTAACCTGGTCTGGTTAAATGAATTTCTAGGAATGGGGCCCAGGCATTGACTTTGTAAAGTTCCCCAGGTGAAAGAATTCTTGATTTTGAAAACGTATAAATTAGAAAGTTAAAGGGAGAGGGGAACATGTGTAAAGAAGAGCATGACATGTTCAATGACTATAAGCAGTTATAAGTAGGTTACAGATAAAGTTAGAAATGTAGCCTGCAGGCAGATTTTATAAAGGGATTTTTATGACATAATAAGGAGTTTGGGCACATCTGATGTTATAAGATACCCCCCCAACTTTTAAATTTATACTTTTTATTTTGAAATAACTTCAAAGTTAGAAAAAAGTTATAAGAATCTTAAGAATTCTTCCATACCCTTTACTTGGATTGACTGATTGTTAATCCTTTGCCTCATTTGTTTTCTCTCTCCCCATTTTGCTGTCCCTGTCTATATAGACAGATACTTTTAAAAACTGAAACCTTTGAAAGAAAGTTGCAGACCTAAGAATTCTTTTCTTTTTTCTTTTTTCTTTTTTTTTTTTTGTGTTGGAGTCTCACTGTGTTACCCTCGGCAAAGTGCCTCAGTGTCATAGCTCACAGCAACCTCAAACTCTTGGGCTTAAGCTATTCTCTTGCCTCAGCCTCCCAAGTAGCTGGGACTACAGGCGCCCCCCACAACGCCTGCCTATTTTTTGTTGCAGTTGTCATTGTTGTTTAGCTGACCCTGGCTAGGTTCGAACTCGCCAGCCTGAGTCTATGTGGCTGTTGCAGAAACCACTGTGCTATGGACACCGAGCCAATAATTTTTTTTTTTTTTTCTTGAGACAGATTCTCACTTTGTCACCCTTGGTAGAGTGCTGTGGCATCACAGCTCACAGCAATGTCGAACTCTTGGGCTTAACCAGTTTTCTTGCCTCAGCCTTCCAAGTAGGTGGGACTACAGGTGCCTGCCACAACATCCAGCTATTTTTTTGGTTGCAGTTGTCATTGTTTAGCAGGTCTGGGCTGGGCTTGAACCCACCAGCCTTGGTGTATGTGGCTGACGCCTTACTCACTGAGCTGTGGGCGCTGAGCTGTACTTTTTGGTTTTTTAAGTTCAGGATCTAGTCAGGTGTTTCATACTGTATGTATTTCTCTTTACTTTAATCTAGAATGTTTCTCCTGTCTTTTTCTTTTTCTTTTGTGAACTTGGTATTTTAGATGTGTCAAAGCTGGTCTACAGTCTAGTTCTTTTTTGCTTCCTCATTAGTGGATGCACGGTTACTACATAGATAATGATGTGGTCTTTCTTTTACATTTCATCAGGAGATACATATGTCAGTTTTCCCATTCTTGGTAATGCTGACTGATTACTTGGCCAGAATGGTACTTGTCAGATTTCTTGATTATCATAATGGCATCTTTTCCACTTTGTATTAGTAAATAATTTATTAAATGAGATCTGGGTATATGTCACCCAGTAGTTTAAGTATCCATTGAAGAGTCTTGCATGAATCAATTCTTGGTGTTGGCATTTTTTGGTTGCATAATGAAAGTTAAGATGTTATTCAGCATTAGAGGCCAGGCACCGTGGATCACGCCTATAATTTTAGTACTCTGGGAGCCTAAGGTGGGTAGATTGCTTGAGCTCAGGAGTTCAGAACCATCCCAAGCAGGAGCAAGAGCAAGACCTCATCTTTTCTAAAACAGAAAAAATTAGCTTGGTCTTATTGTAGGTGCCTGTAGTTCTAGCTTGGGATGCTGAAGCATGAGGATCGCTTAAACCTAAGGTTTTGAGGTTGCAGTAAGCTATGATGATGTCATGCTACTCAACCCTAGTGTCACAGAGTAAGATTCTGTCTCAAAAAAAAAAAAGAAGATATATTAAGCAGTAGAGAATTACAGTCAGGATTGCATTTTAGAAAAAAACCAAAATTTGACTAAACTCACTATTTTGATTTTTTTATGGCAGTGTTCACCAACGAGTCTTCCAGAAGTCCAACAAGAGAATATAATCAATCCTCTAGACCTTACAGGTATGATAATCTGTTCAATGAATTGTCATACATGTAGAACTTAATAGTATGATTTTTTTTATCTTTTAATTATGGATGGAAAAACACGAAACAGTGTTTTTTAGTATATGGTGACTTTAAATTTTAAAAAACCTTAAAGTATTTTTGTACCAGTTTACAGCGTTATATATCTTTTCCATAGTGTATCATCTTTATCCTTTATTAAATTACTCTTATTTTGGTCTTAGTTATTTACCATCCTAGTAACAAGTTGTTCTGAGACTGTTTGGAGATGAAATTAATCAGTTTTTTTTAAATTTTATAGTTCAGCTTTTCATTACTAACTTTTAAATTTTGATAGCGAATCTAATTCCTAATGTACATCAAGATGGAGAAGATGAACAAACATTCATTTTAACTCTGGTGGAAATCCCAGCCAATGCAGTTGAAGACTTTACAGATACTGCTGCACAGTTAATGCCAAACACTTTACTGCCAGCACCCATTTTGGTCAAATCAGTGAATGCTGAACAAAAGGGAGACATGAGGTAATGAATGAGTTAAACTGTTTTTGCTTGGGGGGAAGGTGCTTTGTGAATTGAGTAGTATTGATAGAATAAACTGTTAACCCACATTATTTGTAATTGTTGTGGACATCTATTGGGTATTTATAAGGTGCCTTAGAGAAGAAATATAATGTGGTTGATTTTTGTATCTAATAAAGATGCTATTTAAATGTTTAATATGGCTGGGCATGGTGGTTCATGTCTATAATCCTAGCACTGTCTTAGGCTGGGGCAGGAAGCTCTCTTGAGGCCAGGAGTTTGAGACCAGCCTGGACAACATAGTGAGTCCCTCTGTCTACAAAAACTTAAAGAATTAGACGAGTATGGTGGTGAGTTCCTGTAGTTTCTTGAAAGTCCAGGAGTTCTAAGTTATGGTGAGCTATGATCAAACCACTCT